TTGGATTCCTTTTATTTCTTTTTCTTTCCTAATTGCTCTGGCCAAAACCTCCAGTACTATGTTGAATAGGAGTGGTGAGAGCATCCTTGTCTTGTTCCTGTTCTCAGAGGGGTGGCTTTCAGTTTTCACCATTAAGTATGATATTGGCTGTGAGTTTGTCGTATATGGCCTTTATTGTGTTGGGGTGCTTTCCTTCTATACCCATTTCATTGAGAGTTTTTATCATAAGCAGATGTTTGATCTTATTAAATCCTTTCTCTGCATCTGTTGAGATGATCGTGTGATTCTTATTCCTCATTTTGATAACGTGGTGTATCACATTGATTCGAAGATGTTGAACTGTCCCTGCATCCCTGGTATAAATCCCACTTGATCGTGGTGTGTGATCCTTTTAATGTATTGCTGTATTCAGTTTGGCAATGTTTTGTTGAGGATTTTTGCATCTATGTTCATCAGTGATATTGGCCTGTAGTTTTCCTTCTTTGTGTTGTCCTTGTCTGGTTTTGGTATCAGGGTTATATTGGCCTAATAGAATGTGTTAGGAAGTGTTCCATCTTCTTCAGTTTTTAAGAATAGTTTGAGAAGGATAGGTACTAAATTTCCTTTGAATGTTTGGTGGAATTTTCCAGAGAAGCCATCTGGTCCTGGACTTTTGTTTTTTGGGAGGTTTTTGATTACTGTTTCAATCTCTATACTTGTGATTGGTTTATTCAGATTCTCTATTTCTTCTTGATTCAGTTTTGGGAGGTTGTATGCGTCTAGGAATTCATCCATTTCTTCTAGGTTATTGAATTTGTACACATATAGTTTTTCATAGTATTCTCTTATAATACTTTGTATTTCTGCAGTAACTGTTGTAATTTCTCCTCTTTCGTTTCTAATTTTATTTATTTGAGCCTTCTCTCTTTTTTTCTTGGTGAGTCTGGCTAAGGGTTTGTCAATTTTATCTTCACAAAAAACCAGCTCTTAGTTTCATTAATCCTTTGTACTGTTTTTCTAGTCTCTATTTCATTTATTTCTGCTCTGGTTTTTATTATTTTCCTCCTTCTGCTCACTTTGGGCTTCGTCTGTTCTTTTTCTAGTTGTTAGGTGTGTTTTAACATTACTTATTTGAGATTTTTCTTGCTTGTTGAGGTGGGCCTGTATTGCTATGCATTTCCTTCTTATGACTGCTTTTGCTGCATCCCATACGAGTTGGTATGTTGTATTTTCATTTTCGTTTGTCTCCAGGTACTTTTTAATTTCCCCTTTGATTTCTTCAATGATCCAATGGTTGTTCAAATGCATGTTGTTTAGTCTCCACGTATTTCTGACTTTCCCAGTTTTGTTCTTGTGGTTGATTTCTAGCTTCATAGCATTGTGGTCAGGAAAGATGGTTAGGATGATTTCAATCTTCTTAGACTTATTGAAGCTTACCTTGTTTCCCAACATATGGTCTATCTTTGAGAATGAGCCATGTGCACTTGAGAAGAATGTATATTCTGCTGTTTTTGGATGGAATGCCCTCTCTATATCTATTAAGTCCATCTGATCAAGGATTTCATTTAAATCTACTATTTCCTTGTTGACTTTTTGTCTGGATGATCTGTCCATTGATGTAAGTGGGGTGTTGACATCCCCTACTATTATTGTATTGCTGTTTTCCCTTTAGGTCTGTTAATAATTTCTTTATGTACTTTGGTGCCCCTGTGTTAGGTGCATATTATATATATATATATATATATATAAATCTTACGTCCTCTTGGTGGAATGTCCCTTTTATTGTTATATACTGCCCCTCTTTGTCTCTCATTGTTTTTTTAACTTGAAGTCTGCTTTATCTGATAAAAGTATGGCCACACCTGCTTTCTTTTGTTGGCCATTAGCTTGGAGTATTGTATTCTATCCCTTCACTCTAAGCCTGTGTTTGTCTTTGGAGCTGAGATGTGTTTCCTAGAGGCAGTATATTGTTGTGTCTTGTTTTTTAACCCATCCAGCTACTCTGTGTCTTTTGATTGGAGAATTCAATCTATTTACATTTAGAATGATTATTGGTATATGAGGGCTTAATGTTGCCATTGTTTTCTGGTTGTTCTATGTTTCCATTGTTTCTCTTCCTTTGTATTTCTGACTGCCATTTCATTTTGGTGGTTTTCTGAGGGGTGTTTCTCAGGTTTCTCTCTTTTTATGATGTGGCTCTGCTCTGATTTTTTATTTAGTGGTTACCGTGAGGATTGCATGAAAGATGTTGGAGGTGAGATAGTCCATTTTTTCATAGCTTGTTATCTCCATTAACCTAAGCAGGTTCTTTCTCTTTCCTCTCCCCTTCTGAGTAATTGCTATTACAGTTGTTCTGTTTTTAATTTTGTGAGTTTGTGACTAAGTTGAAGTGTTTATCAATACTTTGGATGCTTTTTTCCCCTTTCTCTGTTAAGTTGTCATTGAGTCTCTGCCTCCCTGTTCTAGTAGAGAGCTGCAGGTTTCTGATCATGTCTATCTATTTATCTCCTTGCTCAGAGCTTTTTAGACCTTTGCCTTTATGCTGCTGGTGTGAGGGCATTTTTAATTATTTCTTGTAGGGGAGGTCTAGTGGCAATGAACTTCCTCAGCTTTTGTTTATCTGGGAAAGCTTTTATTTCTCCATCATATCTGAAGGAAAGTTTTGCTGGATAGAATATTCTTGGCTAAAAGGTTTTGTCTTTCAGTATTTTGAATATATTATTCCATTCTCTCCTAGCCTGAAGGGTTTCTGCTGAGAAATCTGCTGAAAGCCTGATAGGATTTCCTTTATAGGTTATTTTCTTCTGTCTTACTGCTCCTAATATTTTTTCTTTATCAGTAAATTTTGCCATTTTTACTATTACATGTCTTGGAGAAGGTCTTTTAGCATTCATGAAATTGGGCACTCTGTTAGCTTAATCTGTCTGTAAATCTGGAACCATGCTCGTTTTTGGGAAGTTCTCAGCAATTATTTCTTTGAATACGCTCTCTGCTCCTTTCTCCCTCTCTTCTCTCTCTGGAATGCCTATAATCCTTATGTAGCTTTTCCTAATTGAGTCAGATGTTTCTCAAAGAATTCCTTCATTTAAAAAAATCTTAATTCTGTCTTCTCCACCACCTGTAGAATTTCTACATTTTTATCCTCTAGAAGACTAATTCTTTCTTCCATAAATCAGTTCTATTTCTTAATGATTCTAGATTATTTCTTATTTCATCAATTGTGTTTTCATATCCAGAATTTCTGCTTAGTTTTTTTTATAGTTTCAATCTCTTTGATGAAGAGATTACGTTTATTGCTGAGCTCCTTGAATTGTCTTTCTGTGTTTTCTTGTAAGTTGTTGAGTTTCCTTTTGACAGCTATTTTGAATTCTCCATCATTTAGGTTGTAAATTTCTGTGTCTTCGGTGTTGTTTTCTGGATAATTGTCATTTTCCATGTGGTCTGAATTGTTGCTGCAGTTTTTCAGGTATTTGATGAACTAATCTTTTGTTGGAGCATTTGTGATATTCTTAGGGCACAGATTCCACTTGTTACTGCTAAGGGGAAGCAGGAGCAGTTTCTGGCTCCACCCCATCTGCTGGTGGCTGTGGGGGTATTATGGGTGCTTGTGTTCAGGCACTTGTATGAACTGTCCTTGTTGGGCAGGGCTTCCTTGCTGGGCTAGGGCTACCCTTTGGCACCTTATGGGCACTCTGAGCTCCCCCTTCCCACCAGAAAGTGATCACCACTGGGCTAAAAGCTGCTGCTGCCTCTTCCCACGGCTTCCCAGGACATGTTCCCTCTTTAGGAGCTCAGCACTCCTGTGAAGGCTCATGCATGGACCTGGGCTGTGTTTGTCCCAGTGGTGGATCTGCTGCAGTCTCTGCTTGAGGTCCATGGGGCCACTGTGGTTGGTGAGCAGGGCTTCCTCACTGGGACCCAAGCTAGGGCTGCTCCTTCGTGGCACAGGGGCACAGTGGGCTCCCTCTCCCCACCAGGAAAGTGAACCCGAGTGGGCTCAAAGTTGCCGCTGCCTTTGCCCACAGCTGCCCAGGACACCTTTCCTCTTTCAGGGCTCAGCAGCGCTATGAGTGCTCACTCCAGCCTGAAGTGTGCTTGCCTCAGCGCTTAGATTGGCTGCATTCTCTGTTTACAGTTTGTGGAGCCACTGTGCTTGGTAAGTGAGCCTTCCTCAATGGACTGAGCTAGGGCCACACCTTGGTGGCACAGGGCTGAAGTGGGCTCCCCCTCCCTGCTGGGAGAGCAATCATGAGTGCAGGCTAAGGGTTACTGCCACCTCCTCCTGTGGTTACCCTTGTGTTTGTTCACACTTTCTGGGAGCTTGCACCAGGCTGGAAAGCATTCATGTGCATGCACAGGGCTACTAGGGGAAAGCAGAGTGTCTCACCTGTCTCTGCCACTTCCTGGGGGGCCCAGTCCATCCATCCTCAGATGTATAGCTGGGTGTGTCTCTCAGGCACCCTGTTGTGCTGTGTGGGCTTCCTCTGTTGGTCAGTGAATGTCAATTTAGATGTAGTTCAAAAAGGGGAGAGACAAGGGGAACAACGCATTCTTCCATGTTGCTGATGTCACTCCTTGTTGAGGGTTTTTATCATGAAAGGATGTTGTATTTTGTCAGGTTTCTTTTTCTTCATCTATTTAGATGATCATAAGGTTTTGATCTTTCATTCTATTAATGTGATGTATCACATTTACTGATTTCATATGTTGAACCATCCTTGCATACCAAAGATAAATCCCACTTGATCATGGTGTATAATCCTTTTAGTGTGCTGTTGTATTTGGTTTGCTAATATTTTATTGAGAATTTTTGCATCTATATTCATCAGGGTTGTTGGTGTATGATTTTCTTTTCTTGTAGTTTCTGTTCTTTTCTTGCAGTTACCTGGCTTTGGTATCAGGGTAATGCTGGCTTTGTAAAATGAGTTTTGGAGTGTTCACTCCTTTTTAATTTTTTGGAAGAGTTTAAGAAGGATTGGCATTAATTTTTCTTTAAATGTTTGGTAGAATTTTCACTGGTGAAACCATCTGGTCCTGGGCTTTTCTGTGATGGGAGATTTTTGATTACTGATTCAATCTCCTTACTCATTACTGGTCTGTTTAGAATTTCTATTGCTTCATGATTCAGTCTTGATAAATTGTGTGTTCCTATTTCTTCTAGGCTGTCCAATTTGTTGGCATGTAATTGTTCATAGTAGTCTATTATGATCTTATGTATATTTGTGGCATCAATTATAATGTCTCCTCTTTCATTTCTGATTTCATTTGAGTATTCTCTTTTTTTTCTTTGTTAGTCTAGCTAAAGGTTTGTCAATTTTGTTGGATCTTCAAAAAACCCAGTTCTTGGTTTTGTTGATCTTTTCTATTGGTTTTCTGGTCTCTATTTCACTTATTTCTTATCTGATTTTTGTTATTTCCTTTGTTCTGATAGCCTCGGGCTTAGTTTGCCTTTCTTTTTCTAGTTCCTCGAGGTGTAAGTTATGTTGTTTATTTGAGATCTTTCTTTTTTCTTAGTATATGAATTTATTGCTACAAACTTCCTTCTAAGAACTGCTTTTAGAGCATCCCATAGGTTTTGGTATGTTGTGTTTCCATTTTTATTAGTTTTGAGATGTTTTTTATTTCTTCCTTGAACTTTTGGTTGTTCAGGAATGTGTTGTTTAGTTTCCATATGTTTGTAAATTTACTTGTTTTTCTTGACTTTGACAGCCCTGTGGAGTACTAACTTGGTATCCTGCAGAATGTCCCAATATGAGTTTACTTGATGTTTTCCTCATAACTAGACTGGAATTATGTGTTTTCTTTGGAAAGAATACCAGATTAGTAAAGTGCTCCTTTTATTACATCATATCAGGGGGTAAATGACATCCACATGACAGTACTGATAATGTTAACCTTCATCACTTGGTTAAGTTAGTGTTTGCTAGGTTTCTCCATGTAAAGATATTATTTATTAGAATGTAAGACCTGTGGGAGTATAGATGCTTTATGGGGTTTTTTTTTTTTACTGCTATATCAGCAGTGTCTAGAATAGTGCATGGCCCATAGGCACTCAATAAGTATTTGTTGAATGAATAAATGAATAAATGGAAGGATGAAGTAGATGATCCTCGCCTTCCCACTCTACTCAACTCTTTCTAAAAATTTGTTCTGACCATACTTGTGATTACTAACATCAATTTTATTAGGGCATATAGTCTATATGCATGAAATGCAGTACAGTGCCTGCCACCAATTACTTAATATGTATGGGCCTTAGGATACATTGGTTGACAGGTGGCTTATTTACTGAGACTATATTTAATTTTGGCTTGAAAGGCCAGGGCAAGATGATATAGACCAACTTTATCCATGTTGGGATTTAGCATACAGCATTTGAATGAGGTTAGGTTTTCGTAAGGCCTACATTTTCAGATTTCCTTTCTACTACTTCTTAGCATTTTGTTTCTGGGCAAGTGATCTAGCATCTTAGAATGTTCTCATCTCTGATATGGGAGTAATTGTTTTTTTCTTGTAGGTTGATACTAGGATTTAGTGAAATCACATAGCAAGCTCCTACTCAGTGCCTGGCATTTTACTCAATACATACTGGTTTACTTCACTTTCCACAACCTTCTGAAGTATGTAGTCGAATTATTTTTTTCTATTCTAGGAGAGTGATTTTCTACAAAAAGCATCTTTTATCTGGAAGGTCAGTAAAGACAATTCCATTTCATTAAAGAGCTGGCGACATTATAATTTGCTTAGAAACAGGCTCTGGCTTCCATTATAAAACTGATCTGGCATATGTGCAAAGAACCAGATTACTTTTCTACTGGAAAGGAAGCTGATGGAATAGAAATACTTTACAAATGTGCACAGAACAGTTTACCCTCATGCAGTGTCTGCGCCTGATGAAATATCATATGGCGCCCTGCAGTAGATGTGGCTCAACATAAAATTTGTCACTTCCCAAGTACTTGAAATATTTCCCCACTTCTTATACCTCTGCACTGCACATGCTTATTTGGTAATGTTTGTCTGCCTTCTTATTTCAGGAGCTGAAGTGACATAGTCCTGTCTTATAATTTGCCAAGTGATTGAAGGTGCCACACAGGTCCATATTACCCCAGTAATGTCACCGATTCCTTGTTCTTAAAGAAGAAAAGAGGATAGTGAGCACTTAGCTTGAGGGTGATGTGTTCTGTGGGAATGTATATTCTCTGCAAGTTGTTTATGATTTTTTTCTTCCGTACAGCCAGAGGAGTGGAAGGACATATTTCAAATTCCCATTGGCAAGGGCTCCTGCTTCTTTTAAAAGGATTTGTAAAATTCCATCCCTTTGAATCTTGTCAGTGATCTCTGGATATCCTCCAGGCTTTCTTTCATAAAGCTTTCAGCACACAGAGCGGAGTGGGCTGGGCAGGGGAATGTGTATGTGAGAGTGTGTGCTTGCATATGTGTGTGTGTGTGTGCTTCTGTGCCTATCTGAAGCTGCCTTGATTAAAATGCCAGTATTCTGTCACTTTCTAGTCTGAATTTACTATGGCAATAAAATGGAAGCATCCCCCTGCACAGTGAGGTATAGCTGTTGAGTCTCGCCATTTTGTGTTGTATCTAAAAAGTCATCTTAGCCAAGTCAGCTTAATGTAGATCAGTAGCCACATCTTCCCTTTGGTTCCTTTCTTGTTTCTCTTCTGTAGAACTTCTCATCAGCTGATGAATTCAAGGGAAAATCATTTCCCTGGAGCTGTGACAGTTCTCCATGTGTGGAGAGACAGGGATCACATTCAATCTTCAGGGATGACAGGTATGAGTGGAGTTTGCCAGGAGTTTTATGGTTTCAAAGTGCCTATATTTTCTGTTTTCAACTTCTTTTGGAAAGCACAAATCACCAAATATTGGCGAGGCAAAGTTTCACTTCTTCCCAAATCATCAGATAATGGATAATGGAAGTTGTCCAGCCCCACAAGTCAGTTTGTGGGCTGCAGGTTCAAAAAAGCACTTCCTAAGTGCACTCAGAATTTTGCAGGGCCTGAAGCTTTTGAGGTTTGAGAGTAAGTGACAGAAAAGCAGAATTAATCAATAGTCGTCTTACTAGGAAAAAAGACGTCAGCTATTTCTTTTATTCTTTGTGGGTTGCTTCAGATTCAAAAGTTGCTATGGTCCTGTAAAACCAGGATTCTGGGCAAAAAGTAAATTGGATGGTAAGCACAGCCAAACTGGTTTGTTTTCCCCATGAGCCCTGTGATGGTTCATTTTATGTGTCAACTTGATTGAGCTTAAGAGGTGCCTGGATACTTGGTAAAACATTATTTCTGGATGTGTCTGTGAGGGTGTCTCAGCAAGAGATTAGCATTTGAATCAGTAGACTGTAAAGAAGATGGCCCTTCCCAACGTTGGTGGGCATCAGCCAATCTGTTGAGGGCCTGAATAGGACCAAAGGGTGGAGGAATTGTGAATTCACTCTCTCTGCTGGAGCTGAGACATCCATCTTCTCCTGTGCCTTGGACATTCGCGCTCCGGTTCTTGGTCTTTCTGACTCAGACCAAGACTTATACCATGGCTCCCAGATTCTCAGGCCTTCGGAGTGGGACTGAATCACACCACTCACTTTCCTAGTTCTCCAGCTTGCAGACAGCAGATTGTGGGACTTCTCGGCCTGCACAGTCATGTGAGCCAATTCCTATAATAAACCTCCTCTTATATATCTCTATATATCCTATTGATTCTGTTTCTCTGGAGAATCCTGACTAATACAAGCCCCATGCATGGAAAGAAACAGAACTTCCACTCCACTTAGCAGATTTTGCACATATTTATTCAGGGATTAATTACTCTCTTGAGGCTGATAGGTTTCACATATCACTATATTGAGATTGATTAACTCATTCATATATTCACTCTGTGAATACTAAGTGCCAAACACCATGCCAGGTTGTGAATACAAAGATAATTCAACCCCGAATCACAACGTACCTCACTGACTTGACTGCAAACTCCTTGCCAGCAAAGAGCTTAGCAGGGAAAATAAATTATGAACATCAGAAAACCATAATACAAGACAGAAAGTGAAATGCCATTAAAGCAGACAGATAAAGAGAGGTAGAGAGAAATTGTCCTGAGTAGGGAAAGGTGATATTTGCTGGAGGGATGAGGCAAGACTAAGAAGGTATTTGACCTGGGCTTCAAATTTATAGGAAAAGGAAGCAACCACATTCCAAGTGATCAAAGGCACAGATGTGGAAAAGCACAGGACATAGAATGCAGACATTTCTTGTGGTAGTGGGTGGGGGAGATGAGAGAAGGAGAAAGGGACAATTCCATAACCTAGGACCTGTTTCAGATTTAGGATTTATGGGGTTCTTGGAGCAAAACAGCTACTTGCAAGCTGGGTTCAGCACACTGTTCTTCCATTGTATGAAAGTGACAGCCATTCTGTATGGCCTCTGTGGATCCAAGGAATACAATAAAGGGAGGTGGCACTTCGGGGCAAGGGGTAGAGGCAGGGAGTCTGGGGATGTGTGATGTTTTCTGACACCAATTCCGACAAGAAGTATGTGGTCATTTTTCTATACCAATTCTCCGTCTCCAGCTGGGTGTCTAATTCAATTCAACTTGGACATTATATACCTGGTGTTAGTGTCAGCTCCTGTAAATTAAAGGATTCGGTCCCACAGACTGCTCCCATCACAGATGCCAGCTGCAAGTGGGGTCCTCAGGTGACCCACTCTTCAGCCTGGCTGACTACATATTTGAGGATTCCCATGACTCCCCAACCCAAGTTTAATTATTCACTAGAATGACTCACAGAACTCAGGAAACTGCTCTAGTTACTATCACAGTTTTTTAAATACAGGCTGCAACTCAGGAACAGCTAAATGGAAGAGTGCATAGGGCAAGGTATGGGGCGGGAGTTGTGGAGCTTCCACGTCTTCTCCAACTGGGCTTCTTCAAGTGGGTGTTCAGCAACTCAGAAACTCCCCGTACTCCGCAATTTAGGGGTTTTCTGGAAGTTTCATTACATAGACATAATTGATTAAATCATTGGCCACGGGTGATTGAACTCAATCTTCAGTCCTTGTCTCTTCCCTGGAGGTTGGGAGATGGGGCTGAAAGTTCTAGCCCTCTAATCATGTGGTTGGTTTTTCTGGTGACCAGCCCACACCATGGGTCACCTTGTGAGCATATGAAAGATAGTAACTTCCAAGGATTTTGGGAGCTCTGTGCCAGGAACCAGGGACAAAGACCAAATATTTCTTTTTTATTATACCACTGGGACGGAAACCATTTACTTCACAATCTTGCTGAGGAGGAGGATGGCTCCTAGAACAGGCTTGGGTGATGGAGTTCTGAGGTAACAACAAATAACACAACTTGGATCAAGGATGAGTGTACTGGTGACTGTTCTGGAACAGGATGAGGGCCTGGGCCACGGTTGGATGAGGTGATGCAAGGCTGATGAGACCTTTCTGAAGACTGTTTTGCAATGTGTGGTACTGTTGGCTCTGTCTAGAAGTTTCTGGGCTCTAACTTAGGGCAAGTTAGAAGAGAAAATGACTTTACCTTACTTTTCTGTTACGTAAGATCTGTTCTTTTTAGCATAATTTCCACTGGAGTAAAGCTCTCAGAGAGAAGGGAAACTAGGCCCAAGTTAGTGTCAGTTCTGGAATAACCATCTAGAATAATTACTTTCTCTGCCTGGCTGAGGATGACCCATCTTGTTAACAATCAAAGAGTAAATATATGTGTAGAAAGATTTGAAGAACACACTGACAAGCTGGCTTGAATCATTTTTAAATGTTCACACTTTTCTCTGTGCTGCTAGCAGAGGAATCTTTGCAGGCAAGAGCTTGGCTGAATGGTCTTAACAGTGACATAAAGAGGCCGACTCAGGACTCCACAAGAACTGAGGGTTAACTCTCTTCTTTCTTCTTGTAGACAACTAAGAGGTCAGTCTGTGTGACATCTTTGAACATTCTGAGGACTCAACCTTAGAATCTATCTTAGTCTGTTCAGGCTGCTCTAACAAAATAGCACAGACTGGGTGGCTTATAAACAACAGAAATTTATTTCTCACAGTTCTGGAGGCTGGAAGTGTGCAATCAGGGTGCCTGTCTAGTCGAGTTCTGGTGAAGGCTCTCTTCTGGGCTGAAGACTGGTGACTTCTCACTGTGCCCTCACTTGGTGGAAGGGGGGTGTGCGAGCTCTCTGGGGCCTCCTTTATAAAGTCTAGGAATTGAAAGCAGGTTAATGGAGGTGGAATTTGATGGGCCATGAAGAGAGTGTCAGGAGGTGAACTTGCAGAGGTAGGCAGGCCCAGATCTGGCATAACTGTGGTGCCCCAGTAGGAAATTTGGATTTTCTTTGAATGCATAGGAAGTCCCTGAAGTTTTCTAAGCAGAGGAATGACCTGATTTCATTCATATTTTACAGAATTTGCTCTGACTGCAATCTGGAGAATGGCTTGGAGGGAGGTCAAGAGTAAAAAGAATGACATACGCTGCTCTGGGTTAGAAGCCTCTCCTCTATGTCATGAAGCACCTGGTGCTGATTTGAGCATAGTGCTTATTAACCATAGTCACAATTTTGTGTTTACTTCTTGCCTCCATCAGTTGGAGAGCTCCTTCAGGGTGGGGATTGTGTCTTTTGTCTCCATACCATATAGTAAGTGTTCAATAGGTGTATTTTTTAAGGAATGAAAAAGAAAACAATGAAATGAGTGTCAGATCCAACTTTTTCTCTCTACATCTCTAGTTCTCTCATCTGGAAAAAGAATTCTCAACTAAGGAACTGTCCAGCTATAAAAACCATGTTTGGGGGAGAGGAAAGGACATTTTTGATGAGGCGTCACAGTAAGAGGTCTGAAGGAGAGTGGGATGGTCAGGGTGTGTATGTGCTGGAGGTGGGTGTAGATGGGACAGAAAGGGAGACTACTTGATTGGAGTAGGTGGTTCACCAGTGATTTTTAATTACTGGAGTTTTTCTGGATTGTGAAAAATGTTTCAAGTGTAGGGAGAAAACAGCCAAATCTCCGCGCATTCATCAGGGTGAAAACAAGGCTAATGTCCTTTTGGGCAGCCAACTCCCACAGCCCACTGAGACTCCTCTATCTAGAGCAAGGAGCTGGTAAGCTCTTAACTCTCAAAAATTTGTACAATGAGAGTTTATACACCAGGCACCTGTCTCCGCACCATAGCACAGTAGGATAAAAAGTATAATAAATGGTGTGAATGAAATTAAAGATACATATGATAAGATAAATTTGGGGGTGTTTCATAAAATCACTTTGGGGGAGGGAGAACTCATTAGGTTGTGAAAATGAATCACAATGAGAACAGGGTCCCATTGGCAGAGCATCACTCACCACAGAGTAATTCTGCCATTGTCGTGGGGCTCTGTGTGGAGGGTGGATTGATGGTGATCCTTTTTTTATTGAGATTTTGGGCTCACATCTCATTTATGTTTATGCCAGCCAGATGGCAGAGCCTTTATTTGTCATTGCATCTCTTAGCCGTTTCTTGATCTCTGAGGCTTGAGTGAATGGTACAGTAAGTATGCCCGGGAAATGCATCAGTAAACACTAAGAGAAAAAGACAATGCCGAGGGCAGGAGTTTATTCCACAGGATAACAGGGATGAAGTTCAGAAAAGGAAAGATGGATGTTTAATGCCTGGAAAAATACTGTGGCCTTTCGACTTTAAGAAGAACTTCCCAAGGGAAGCTGTGAAAATCCCACTACATGAGGCATTTGAGGATAGATTGGATGATGCACTGGAGATTATCTTGCAGGGAGTCAAATGTCCTCTGGTCCAGGGAGTGGACTAAAGTAGCCACAAAACCCACAAAATGGTCTTTTGTGATTATGGTTCTGGGAGTCCAATCAGGTCTTGCTTTATTGAATCCTTCGTTACAATCAATATGAATTTCCCCAGGCGGAACTGAAGTACCGCACCTTAGAATTCGAGCCTTGGTGTGCGCACGTGCCTGTGGTCCAGCCAGCTAAGAGGCTGTTCGGTGAGGCATCTGTCTGACACATTGCACTGGTGTGATCCCTTCCTTTGCCCTTCCCTCACTTCCTCTTCCCTACTCTCTTCCTTTCCTCCCCTCCCGTCTCGCATTCTTTTCTCCTCTACAGACAGAACAGATATGGGGGGTATAAAGGCCTGGAGAAGGAGTCATCCTATGTGCCTGTCGGATGCCTGCTCTCTGCTGCTCACTGTGCTGCGGTTTGGTGTTTGGAGGAGAATATGGATTTAAGTGCAGCAGAGTCAAAGAGAGACTTGGGAACTGCTGAGGCCTGCCGGCCATTCCACAGTGAACAGGCCCTGCAAAGTCTGCAGAGTTGCCATTAAAATCTCCTTCTTGTTCGTGCCCCAGCCTGCCTAGAGATCTGCTGGGGCCTCTGGGTCTTCTCTGTTTTATAGCTATTGTTAAAGATTTGACGTTGGGAGGGGAAAGGAAGGTTTTAGTTCCCTAAGGACAGACCAAATCTGTCATTCAAGTTCAGCTGTAAGAGACTCCGGGGTGAAAATGTTGAAGACCAGCTCCTCATTCTTCTTTCTTTTCCTAATTAATTGCAACTGATCTAAAAATACTTATAGCTGGGAAAGTCTCTGATGCTGGAGCTGGAACAAGTTGCTGATTTGGTCACAGAACTGGATCTAAGGCAAGCACAGGGACCCAGGCAAGTCAAGAGGCTGAGGACTCGTAAGTCAGTTCTTGGGGACTGCTCCCCTCATTAGTTCAGTTTATTGCACACTTTCTCCATTGATTGAGATGTGTGCAATTTTCCCACACAGTAGACTCTGGCCCTTTATGGCTGTAACATTTACAGTTTAAGCTACTTGAGCGTGATCTGAAAGTCCATTCTATAAGATAAAATGCGAAAATTGCTGAGGCATGAATTTGAATCACTGGAACTGCAAGGGAGTTGTGGGCGAGTCAATTACCTCGTGTCTGGACCAGCTTCTTGCCCAGTCTCCACCTCTTAGGGCAGCCCTTTCCAGTCTTTCTTCATTGTTCTGTGTGAGAAGGTTTGGGGACATAGCCGTGGTGAATGCTGTGATTCTGTCAACGAGTAAGAGGCAGAAACTACAAAAGAAGCAAAAAGGTTTATTTGGGGTCCCAAGAATTGCAATTCAGGAGACATAGTTTCAAGTAGAAACTCAAATGTGCTCCAAGGAAGACAAAGGAAAGAGGGGTTTATAAAGGCAAAAAGAGAGAAATTACATAGGCTGTTTTGCAAGAGTTGTGATTGGTGCCGGCAACAACTGTTACTTCTTGGCTACACGTGATTGGTTGCTGAGGCCATCTCTGAGGCAGAAAGTTCTTATCTACGAGAGTCAGCATATTTCTTGGAAGAAGGTCAGGATGACAGCAGTGATGCACAGTTCAAAAGTTTACGTTCCATCTGGGTAGAGACGTGCATAAACCTCACTTCCCTGACGGCCTCCCAGCTCCATTTTAGAAGGCTTGACATATGTTACTCCATTTTTTAAATCATTGTGTACAATTCTTAAATGCCTGTGACTACAAACCAAAGCCCAGCCCAGCCCAGCTTTCCTAAACACGCACAATCATAAAGAAGACCCAAGGAGCAGTCAACAGAACAAATTTGAAGCTGCTCAGCATTATTTATTCATCTTTTATTGTGGGCTAGGCCTTGTGCTATGTGTCATAAGAAATGCAAAGATGAATATGACCCAGTTTTTGCCCTCAAAGAAAATACAACCAATAAGAGTCAAAAACAATACAAATGACCATAATATAGGGCCGTGCCAGATAACCACTCTGGGGTGTTTTCCATACCAACAACCAATTCTCTGATTCTCCAGACACCAGTGTGGTATTCAACAATTCAATTCAATTCTGATGCTACCTGGCATTAGTGCAGACCCCACAGGTTAAGGGCTCAAGTCCCACAAGACTGACCCCCACATCAGACACCAGTCGCAAGTCCTGGGCCTCCAATATTTTTGACCCACCAGCTATAAATTGGGGGTTCCCATGACCCCCTCCTCACATTTGACAATGTAACCATGGGCCTGCTAGCACTAGTTCAAACTAACCCCATCTCTTATCAACAGAGTGATTAGGAGTTGTTTTCCAGAAAATTTGCAAAGTCGCATAGCCAGAGCATGTGCAGAAGAGGAAATCTTGACCTGAAATGACACTGAAACCAAAGATTCTCCTCTACACAGAACCAAAGGACTGGGACATGACCAGAACTCGAAAGTCAGACCCTCATCAGAGGCCAGGGGTCCAATGTCTAGGAGGATCCAATGTTAAAACCCCTTCCACACTTTACCATAAATGTTTAAAACCTTACCATAGATATTGAAAACTCTACCATAAATTCTTAAAGCCCTCCAATCAAAACATGCCCTGCCAGCCCTTTCTGGGTACCAGCTTGTTGTCCCTAACCTCTTAAATTTTGCCCCAAATCCTGAATCGGGGAGACAGATCTGAGAGCTTCGGCCTCTTGTCTGCTTGCAGGTCAACCTCTCAATAAAAGCCTTTTCTTTTCGCAAGAGCTGATGCCGTAATAATTTTTTTTTTAATGCACATCAGGCAGAGAACCCCACTTGTGTGGTAACGGCAATTTGCTAGACTAGCTCACAGAACTCAGGAGCACATTCTGCTTACATTTTTTGGTTTATTATAAAGATACAAGTGAAGATCAAGATGAAGAGGTACATAGGATGAGGTCTGGAGGGGTCTGGAGCACAGGAGCTTCTGTCCCACGGGGTTGGGGTGCACCTCCCCAGTACATGGATGTGTTCACCAACTCAGAAGCTGTCTGAACCCTGCAGTTTAGGGGTTTTTATGGAGGTTTCGTTATGTAGTCAGGATTGATTAAATCATTGGCCATTGGTGATCAAACTCAATCTCTAGCCCCTCTTCCCTTCCAGGAGGTTGGAGGATGGGGCTCAAAGTTCCAAGCTTCTAATCAAGGCTTGCTCTTTCTAGAGACCAGCCCCAGTCTTGAAGCTATCTAGGGGCCCTCAGCCGCCAGTCATCTCGGGAGCGTACAAAAGACATTCTTATCACTCTGGACGTTCCAAGGGTTTTAGGAGCTGTGTACCAGGAACTGGGGACAAAGACCAAATATTTATTTTTTATTATATCATAACCCCCGTAAGGAAATTACAAGGAAAGTGTTATATGACTTCAGAGAGAAGACAGATCAAATCCATTTTTTAAGACCTCACATTGCAATGTCATGTAATGGGAAAGAATTTGGATTCTGGAGTCTGCCAGCTCTGGCTTTGACTTCTGGGCAAATCTCATGGCCACTCTTCTGCTGCTTCATTGGTATCCTCAATCACAAAATGGAACAATGTCGATTCCCCTGGAAGCAGTGTAAGTTACCTCAGATCTCTTACAGGACAGGGACTTCTTGCTGTAGAGTATTATTTTGTTTGCTTGTCTCTTCGGTCCTCTATGGAGCTTAACTACATTGCTCTTTTTTTTTTTTTTTTTTCCAGAAACCACAATAAGATGAGGAGATTACTGCCTGAAACTTGCAATCCCATTATCTGTCAGCCTATGAAAGATAAAAAGTGCCACTCGTGTATCCAGAAAGTCATTTTTCAGTAGACACAGGTGACAAGAATTACACTTCTTTCCCAGAACATCTTGATGTGGCATATCATAAATATTCAGGTTCTGTAGACTTTTAAAAAAGATAGAATACTTCCTTTTTTGTATAACACTAGCTTCAAGGTCAGATTCAGGAAGATGCAAAAAAAGGAACTAGGAATTCTTACACATGAGAAAGAAGGAGCAGTTGAGGAGTGGGCTGAAGAAGCCTGAGGAAGTAGAAACTGAAAGTGGAGTAGCAGTCAGGGTACGGGTTTGGAAATCACATGATGGGGTGTATTACCCTTAGACCCAGGCAAATAGGCCTGTGCTCTAGTCCTGTGCTCTCAGGGGCCTGGCTCTGGCCCATCTCCAGCTCTGCCTTCCACATGGGATGAGAAGTCCAGGAGGCCAAGAGATGTGCCCACCTGGAGCCCATGCCCCCCTCTACTTCTAGATCATGTTCTGGGTGCCAGGGACATTGGAATTCCCTGCCCAAACACCAAATCCTGCAGAAGTTTCTTCCCCAAGTCTGTCCTTTCAGGTGAGGACTAATAGTGTGACCTATGTACCCAAAGGGTGGCCCAGGTGTGGCTGTTGGTAGGGGTGGGGAGAGATAGAGATTGGCTGGGTGACCTGGAATACCCACATGCATATGGCAAAGGTCTTTTATGATCTGGGCAGAACCGTGAGAGGGAAGAGAGAAAGGAGTGTACTGTGGGCCAGGGGCCTCCATGTGTATTATTGCCCTAGGCCTGCAAATGTTAGGGGCAGGTCTGTGTAGGAGTCCAGACTTATAATTTTTCAAGCAAGTACATTGAATTTTGCTAATAATTGCTGACAGAATTGAGCTGGCTTGCCCTTGTGCTAGATTCAGCCCTAATTGTTTTTACCTCTATCAATAGGGCAAATAGTTAGTAGTAATAGCACTAGCACCTCCTAGTCCATATTAATGTTCCTTGAGATGCTGGAGTAACTTTGAAAAAGAGAAAGACTGTCTGGCCTAGAGTTTAGGAGAATTCCATGAAGTCCACACACCATGAGAGGAGGGAGGCAGTGTTCCTTCAGAGCCTGACTCAGAGGGAAGCTGTCACACAGGCTTTGGAATCAAATGCAGTCCTGTCCTGAGACCTGGGCAAACTGGGCCCATGGCCCAGCACTCTGCATTTTGGGGTGCCTTCTTTGAACGTTTCTCATTCCCCCTCTGATGCTGGAGACAGGCAGGAGTCAGCAGTGCCATCTAGGGGGCGCTCCTTGGCCCTGTAGCAGGATCCATGTGTGTTCTGACCTCCATTTCTCCTCCTTAGGGCATTCTCCCATCCTCTACTGCTCATGTAGGGTTGACCAGATGACCCAGGAGATCTTGTGCCCATGATGCCATTCTGGGATCTGAGACCCAGTTCCAGGAGAGCAGTCTGACTAACTGATAGCTCCTCTTGGCTGACTGGTATTTCTGTCATGGGATCACGCAAAATTGGGCTGCCAGATGTACTGATATGTTGATTTTGGTGACCCAAATTCTTCATATAGACAGAGGCCCTGCAAAAAATATTTGCTTGGGCCCTGCACACCCTAGAAGCAGCCCTGGTCAAGTGCTTGTGCAGACATCAATCTCTTCCCCCAGTTTTCCTCCTAATTCTGCTGTCTCCTCCAAATTCTATAAACAGCAGAAACAAAAAAGCAGAGGGGAAAGTCCTGAGTGTTTAATTCCTCTGTCTTCTTTGACATAGATGGTGTGGCTTCCTGACTTCCCCACTTCATGGAGACTTGCCTTCAGTCTTCACATGGGACAGTGGCCTGGTTGAATCCTACAGACAGGAAGATGGAGGATGCCTCAACAGTATTGGAGGATAATTGGTAGGGGCTTTAAGGAAGATAATGTCCAATCCCTGACAGTGGCTAGGGGAGAAGGTGAAAGGTTTGGAAAGGTTTTCTGTCAATAAAACAGAGTTTCCAGCACACTCTCTTAGGTCCAAAATGAACCCCTTCACCACCAATAACCTCTGTTGTGTCTGCCCTAAGAAAGGGCATGTGGAAGAGAGAAGATGAACACCCATCGGATGGGTGATGCCACAGCTGATGCTGTGGAGCATCATGTGGCGAGTAGCCATTCACATTTATTGCACGCATTATATTCATTATCTGGTTTAATCCTAAGGACAAAGTTTGACGTGGGTACTGTTCTTATTTCCATTTCATAGACAAGGAAATAGAGGCCAGAGTATGAAATAATTTGCCCAACATCATGGAGCTAGTTAGTGGTGAAGCCAGGATTTGAACCCAGGTCTATCCAACAACCTATTTGAGACCTGTTTGTGGCCAGGGGCCTTCACGCTATGGAAGGTGAGGAAGATCTATCCTGCAAGAGAAAATCTGGGGCCTCAAGGGCCTCGCTGGGGCTCAGGAGTGAGCTCTTGGATGGGCTCCTTGAGCTGTTTTTAAAAAGCCTTGAAGCACTTTCAGTGACCAATTCCTCATTCCAAGTCAGCAGTTGTGGAGCACAGCACACTTCAGCTGCTCTTAAAAGCTAAGTGAGAAGTGGGTGTGAGGTATTGACATTCAAAAAAAGAGAAAGACTGTATTACGGTTCTTTTCACCCAAGCACTTCCAAACCTTTTGAAAGCACCTCGTGGGGAATCCTGTGATCACACTTTGCGGAGTAACAAGTGACCCTGCTCATCCAGAGAAGCAGTGGCAGATCTAGCTTGATTCAGAGCAATGGAACCAGGCTGGGGCGCCCTCTCACAGCTCGGACCCAAACCAGTCCTCCATCAATCGCCATCGAATTTGGGCCATCATGTCCTAGGCGATTTGGAATCTATGTTGTCAGCACCTTTCATTTTAATTAATTGGTTTCTATGTTGTTTTTTTAAGGAGTTTTTGTTTTTTTAATGGAGATTTACAGATGCTCCAAAGAATACTCAAGATATGGCTGGATACAGACAGAGAAAGACAAACTCTATATGACTCCACTCATAGGTGGTAGTTAACATATAGACAAAGAGAACTGATTGGTGGTTACCAGGGGAAAGGGGGGCTGGGGGGAGGGCACTAAGGGTGAAGTGGTGTACCTACAACATGACTACTAATAATGTACCACTGTAATTTCACAAGGTTGTTAACTATCATAGTCTTAACAAAAAAAAAAGATATGGCTGGATAGCATATGAATGTAAGAAAGAAGTGAAACAAGAGTAGGGAACCAAGTGGGTCTGTAATGAGGCAAAACCCAACACAGATGAAGTCGGGAGCTTGTCATCCTTTGGTGAGGTGGCAGAGTGGACCCCCCACTCCTTGACTTGCTTTGGGGCGTACTGTGCTCAGTAGCGACCATTGCATCTAGGACCCCTCCTGCCATCACACACATTTCTCGACTCCATACTCAGAGCCAGGCAGATCTGGTTCACATTCGTTCTGAGTAGACTGTGTGCTTTTGCAAAAGTGATCTAACGTTTCTGACCTTCGGTTTCCGTATTTTCAGAAGGGGATCATGAAATCCACCGCCTTATATTGCTTTGAGGAAGAAACGAGAGGACAAATGGAGCCCACTTAATGCAATGGTCTGAGTGTTTTTGTCCCCCCAGTTCATATGAGGAAATCCTCTTCCCAAGCCCATGGTATCAGGAGGTGGGACTTTGGGGATGGAATGAGGTCATGTGGGTGGAGCATTCATGAATGGGATTAGTGCCTCCATGAAAGAGGCCCCGAGAGCTCCCTTACCCCTTCCCAGCCTCCAGGACCAAGACAAATAAGTTTCTGCTGTTTATAAGCCACCCAGTCCCGGGCATCTCCCTTACAGCAGCCTGAGTGAATTGAGACCCTTAGTGCAGCATTCATGCCTTGCAGGCTTTTAGAGTGGGGTATATATTTCTCTCCCTCCCGCCCTTCTTCTCTTTCTCCTCCTTTCTTTCCTCAAGTTTTCTTTTGAAAAGTGATATAATCCTTTTGGTTTTTCTCTTATAATTGGTCACATCTTAAACTGATCGCTTAGGAAGAGGACACAGGACTAAAATATTTTTCTAGGGGGAGAGGTATTGGAGTTCCAAGACACCGGGCACAATTCCTGAGGAAGGTCAGGCCCTCTGTGGACCACTGTAGGATGAAGCATGGGGGCCATAGATGCCTAAACGGGTGGCCTGGGGGAGGTTCCCAGAGCAGAGGTGTGAGTGTGTGTGTGTAAGTTGGCCCTGGTATGGGTATATGTGTGTGAGTGTGCAGGCGTGGCTGTGCTACATGTGCATGTGTGCGTGTGTGAGTGTTTGCTTTGCGTGTGGGTGTGCATGTGAGCGTGTGTGTGTGTGTGTCTGTGTAGGATCAGAGGGAGAATTCTGCTTATAGTGCAAGACTTGCTGTTCACTCTGGAGGTTAAGAAACGAATGAAGAGATCCTTCTCAAACTTTTGGTGTTCACTGAAGACTGGAGGCCTTTTTCTCCTCTCAGAAATCCCTTGTGGGAAATGAGGGTATAAGAGATAAAGAGTAAAGGCTTCTTTGAGAAAGGCCCTCTTTCCTGCTGTACGAAGCGGCTCTCTGGGAGTCCCGGAAAGACCTCAAGGACTCTGATTCTCCCCCCACCTCGCCGCCTCGGTCCATTCTTTCTTTACTTTCAGTTCCTTGATCTTGGTTCTCGCTTTCTCCAGCCTCCTCATCACACCCCCATCCTGACTCCCTCCCCGCACACCCCTTCTCTGGTTTCGTTTTCCTTTTATCATCCTTCTCATTTCTCTCCTTCCCTCTCATTTTTCTTCTTTGCTTTTCATCCAGAATGAAGGATGCTTGGTAGAACGCATCTCTATTTCTCTTTTACTCACATTCCTGCTCAACGTCCCTGCGAGCTCTGAGAAGCGTCTGTTTCTGAGTCTCCTTTCTCTGGAAACCATTATTTATTTAGCATTTTTCTATGGCTTAATGAGGCTCCTATTCTTCTGTGGAATATTCCTACAGATGGAATTTCAAAGCCTGCTGTTTAGAGGCACTGTTGTTTCTTTTTCTTCTGTCACCAAACAATTGCCAGCTGCCTTCACACAGCAAAGAATGGGAAAAAATACCAGCATGGCAAACCCACACCAAACCCACAACCCCATGCTTTTGGGCTTGTATCTCCGTGGCCACAGTGCAAGAGTGGTTTTAAAACTTAAAAAAAAATTTACCTAAAGTATTATTTTTATTCTCGTTAGTTATAGCCTTTGTATAAACAGATGTCTCCCTTTTAATAAATGTAAGAGGAATGAGTCCAACTGGTTCCCAGTAATAAGGATGGACATGGATTATACTTTTAAAATGATTTGCATCCTGTCTGTGCCTGAGGCTTTGAATTCTTGATGCTGTGATAGTCACAGTCGGTGAGACAAAGCCCTTCCCCGAAGGCATTGGTACTATTAGCAGCTGGAGTACTCAAGGCTGGCTTGATCTGGCTCCCCAAACTTTCTGGGATATGAAAGCAGTGTCGTGCTCTCTTCAACATAAGTCTTTCCTGCGAGAGGCACTTGTACAGCAAGCTGCTAGAGGGTTATTCTGTTTCTTTTGACGGAAGTGTGTTCACGCTGAGCTTTGCTATTTAACTAGCTGTGACGCTTTGGGCAAGTAACTTAACCTCTCTCAACACCAGTATTCTCTTCTTTCAAACACAGAAAGAATACTTATGTGAAAAGTTGCGAGGAATAACAGAGACAACGTACTTGAGTATGAAGCTCAGTGCTGGCATCTAGAAAATGTTTAATAAACAGCAGCCGAGCAACAGATGGGACATATGCAAAACCACAGTCTGCATCCAGCCCTGGATTATGTACGTGCTCTTAAGGTTGTGCTCTCTCATCTTTCTTGAGAAATGAGAGAACTTTCTCTGAGGTTTGTCCTGGTGGCTGAAGAGGCTCTTGGTGGCCCTGAGGTAGTTTGATAAACATCTCAGTAGTGGAGAGTGGGCACTCCTGCCAGAGTAGTAGGTAACTTGCAGCCCAACTTCTAAACCACAGAATGGGTGACTAAATGCATCATCAATGAGATCCGTGTAGAGCCGGATTTTCCTTCGGTGGCTTCATCTCCTGCATTAGGTCATTCGTCAAGTCTGCCTCTTTGTTCTTCTTTCAAAACATCGCTTGTATTTCCTTTTTTCGTACTGTTCTTGCTTTGGCCCAAACCCTCATCTCATGCCAGAGTTATTGTCAAAATTTTTCTCTACTTTGCACCACAGTGACTCTATAAAAATATTAAAGGTAACTTCAAATGCTTTTTATTATAGAAACAAAAAGATTCATTGTAGAAAATTAGGAAAATAAAGAGAAGTTAGGAAAAAATGCAATTAATCTCTCCACCTAGAGACAGCAATATCTGTGATTTTTCTACATATATACAGATATATTTTAAATAAAAAAGGAATCATAGCATGTGTAATGTTTTGCCACTTGCTTTTTCACTTAATATGTCTATTGCTCTGTAACAAATTACCCCAAAACTTAGCATCTTAGAGCAACAAACATTTGTCACGTCACATGGTCTGAAGGTCAGGAACCCCTAGGAAAATCTTAGCTGGTGGTTCTGGCTCAGGGTATCTCATGAGATTACGGTCAAGATGTCAGCCAGGGCTGCAGGCACCTGGAAGCTTGGCTGGGATGGAAGCATCTGCTTTTAAGAGACTCACTCACATAGCCGTTGACTGGAGGCCTCAGTTCCTCACCACGTGGATTTTTTCCAACATGGCAGCTGGCTTCCCCCAGAGTGAGGGATCCAGGAGACAGCAGGAGGAAGTCAGAAGCCATGTTGTCTTTATTTTACACAGCTTTTCGAGATATGATGCACATACAATAGAATTCACCTATACCTAAAATTCAGTGTCTTATGGTACATTTATGGGGTTGTGCAACCATTGCCACTATCTAGTCCTAGAACTCTTCAATCCTCCAAATGGAAAACAGTCACTCTCCATTCCCTCCACCTCCTCCCCACTGGCAACCACTAATCTACTTTCTTTCTCTATAGATTTGCCTATTCTGGACATTTCGTATAAATGGAATCATACAATATGTGGCCTTTGTGTCTGACCTTTTTCACTTAGCATAACGTTTTCAAGGGTCATCCATGTTGTAGCATGTATCAGTACTTTCTTTTTATTGCCGGATAATATTCTATTGTATGGATAACATATTGTTTATCTATTCATCAGTTGATGGATGTTGGGTTGTTTCCACTTCTCGGTTAACCTGAATAATTCTGCTATGAACATTCATGTACCAGTTTTTGTGTGGACATTTGTTTTCAATCCTCTTGTGATATACTTAGGAGAAGATTGCTCGGTCATGTGGTAACTCTATGTTTAACCGTTTGATGAGTTGTCTGACTGTTTCCCAAAGAGGCTGCACCATTTTCCATTCCCATCAGCAGTGTATGAGGGTTCCAATTTTTCCACATCCTCACCAACACTTGTTAGCTGTCTTTTTTTTATAGCCATCCTGGTGAGTGTGAAGTAGTATCTCATTGTGGTTTTGATTTGCATTTCTTTAATGGCTAATGATGCTGACCGACTTTTAATGTGCTTACTGCTCATTTGTATATCTTCTTTTGAGAAATGTTTATTCAAATTTTTTGACCATTTACAAAATTGGGTTGTCTTTTTATTACTGAGTTGCATGAGTTCTTTGTATATTCTGCATACAAGTTCCTTATCTGATATATGATTTGTAAATATTTTATCCCATTCTGCCTGTTGTCTTTTCACATTCTCGATGACGCTGTTTGTAGCAAGAAAAGTTCTGAACTTTGATGTCTAAGCCACATTGTCTTATAGGCAGCCATAGACCACCCCTGCGATATGCTATTTGCTAGAAGGAGTTTTCAAGTCCAGCCCACACCCAGGGGACATTTGAGGACATATTTAAAAACTACCACATACGTTAATATTCATTTAAAACGTCATGTTTAGTGACTACAAAGTAGTCCATCACAAGGCAAAAGCTGCAGCCAAAGTGGGTTTAAATTGTGGCTTCATCATGTAATTGCTGTGTGATCT